TCCACATGAAAGCATCACCAAAGGAACCGATAAATTTAATTCAACAAGCTATATAACGAAATACTTTTTAATTAAAGTTGGATAACGCGAGAAGGCGAGGCGTATCATTAGCTTTTATTCTATACAGTTTCGCTGTTCACAAAATTGCATATAAAAGAGACAAATAAGCTTTGCATACATACATACATTCGAGTATATTTGATTTCCAACCCACCGTAATTCATCAGCCATCGGTTCGTGCAAAGGAAAATTTTCATTCACGTGTTCTTGTTTTGTGTTTAAAAATTCATAAAAACTTTTAATGCACAGTTTATATTTTTTTTTCCAATCTGCCTCCCATTTTTTGTTGTATAATCTTAATTTATGGGTTGTATTTGAGGACTAACTTAACCGATTAATGCATCCATCTACTTGATGGATGTCAGCAGGAAATGTATATGCAAGTATTTATGTACATATGTATGTGGGTATACATGTACTTACATATTTAGCGAATATCTTTTCAACAGAAAGAAACACAAATTAAGCAACTGCAATAAGTAATCGTATCTTTGTCACGTTGATCGCTGATATTTCAATCGTCAAGGCTTATTATAAAACCATTTACGAGTAGACCGCATGTTTAGTTGGGAATATATATGAATACATACATACATACATCTATATACAATAGTTAAAGCAACTATCTACTTATTAATGTTCTTGAAATGGGTAATCGATCTGTTGGGAATACTAGTAAACATACAAATGTTTACACATTTAACTAGGAAAATAATGTTTTTAGAGGTGAACATAAAAATCGATGAAGAAATGCCGATAGATATAGAATAACTCCAGATATGTAAAAAAATGGCTTAACATAATTTATGGTTAAACATAAAATATGGTTAAACAAATGTTATGGCTAAACACCAAATATCAACAAATATACACTTTAACAGACACTTCGCAAGAGAAGCTTGTTGAGCATAAGCATTTGATAAGTTATACATTCATATTAAAAAATACGCATAGAGTCAAATTTCACAATTTAAGTAACTTTAATTGCAACTTAAAATGTTGTTTTGATACAAACATACAATAAATATATAAATTTAGTAGAATATTCAATAGGCGTGTTATTAAAAAAAAGCATATGCATACAAAAACTTAAGTTTTTATGCATATGCCCTTAGAAAAAACACAGCGAAATGATAAGACATCAAAATATGGAAAAGCATTTAAAGTAACAACACAAAAAATATGAATAATAAAAAGCTCGAAACATAAAATCTAATAAGACAAATAATATGGCGAGACATAACATATGACAAGACATATTTTATGGAAATACACAAATGTGACAAGACATAATTTATGGAAAGGCATAATATATAATATGACAAAATATAACATATGATAAGATATACAATATGGCAAGATATAAAATATGGCAATACATCGAATATGTCGAAACATAAACTTTGGGAAAGATACAATTTGGCAAAATTTCAAATATATTTGAGCAAATAATTTGCACAAAAAAGTATTGGCCATCAAATATCGGCAACATATGTGGCTCGACATAGAGAAAATGTTGGTTAACAAGTCTACATTATAAAAGTAGCCAAGTACATTATATAAGTAAATGTACATACATACAAAAGTATAGCTAAAAGCTGCTTGCTTTAATATGCTTTTCCCTAACTCCAGTCCACATTTTCACAATCAATTGGCTACTAAAAACTGGTATAAGAAAACATCAATGAATGAAATTAACAATGAGCAATAATTTATCATATACGTATATGCATATGTATGTACTATGTACGTATATCATTAAGAAATATTAGCAGAAAAAAATTCACATTCTTCTGCGAAAATAAAAATAAATAAACCAAACTTTGCGACGTCATAACATCTTGATTCATCAATGAACATTGTGGTGGTAAAAATTAACAAACAAATAATAAATACAATGCAAATTATGATGAAATAACCCCACAAATACACAGATACACACACTCACTGTACAAATCGCAGAAATTTCAAGCAAAAAAAAAAAACCCTGATAATGGTCATAAAATTCTATGAATGGAAGGCGATAAGCATTTTGCATTTGACAACCAATAAATACGTGTATCTTACATACATATTTATATTATGCATCTTCATGAATTTTATTAACAAGAAAATCACCAGACTGATGTATGTATGACAATTGATTTGCGATGTTGTATGCATTTATATGCCAATAATGTTTTATAAGAAAAAATCCTTAATTATGATTTGTAAAAAACAAAAAAAAAACGAATGGAATAAAACAACAGGAAATTATTATGCAAGTAATGTAAAGCACATTACATGCATAGGAATGGCATACACAACTGGAAATATATTGGTATGTAATAATTCTGTTCATTTGCTGCAAAGAAAAAACATATACATATACGTAAATACATGTACAATGTATCCGTAGTGAATTCATTTTGACGGCATTTAATGGCTCATCAAAAACAGGTCATGTTCATACAAATATTATTGCTATGTATTGTCTATAAAAACGAGGGCATATTAAATAATACTTGTAGCATGTACTATATTTTCATGAAATTGGTTATTTTGGAAACAATATTATCGAGTACAAACGCACAAATATGTTTGGAAAAAAAAAACCAAAGCAAACAAAATTATGCAGAAGGTTGCCGTTTATGTGGGGAAATAACGTTGAATTTGAGGGTTGGTTCAGTTAAATTTTGTTTTTTACTTGTATTCAAAGGAAATTCCTATGAATTCCAACAATTCAGCAAAAAAAATTTGGGTGGTTGGACATTAATAAGACTAAAAGATAACTAAAAAAAAAACCTGAAAAAAAAGTTATTAAAAAAAATTATATAGAAATATTATATTCAAAATATAAAAAATATGTAAAAGGAAGATACAAATAAGAAAAATATTAAACCACCAAAATTTAATTAAAATAAAATTTATTAATTTATTAATAATATATAATATTTGAAATAGTAAAAAAGTAAGTGGTTAAAAAAAATAAGTATTTAAAAAAACTTAAGTTTACGCGAGGAGCGTAAGTCCTTGCAATATTTTGGTCGCTGTTGATATTGGAGTTTATGCTTTCTTGCATATATGCATGAACAAATAATCAAATAATAAAACATATATTTAAATCAAAAATTTATTTTTAATAAAAAAAAAGTAATTAATAAAAACTTAATATAAAAAAATTAATTAGCAATATTAAATTAAAAAAAAAAATAATAACGAAAAGCAAAATTAAAAAATAATTTAAATTAATTAAAAACATTAATATTATATTAAAAAAAATTAAAAAGGAATAGAAAAATTTAAAAAAAATTAATTAAAAATACAGATGTAATAAAAAAATAATTAAATTAAAAATTATTTAGGACAAAAACTTTAAATTAAAAAAAATGCAATAAAATTAATTTTTTAAATTAATAATTAAAAAACAAATTTAATAGAAGACGAAATTCAGTATACAAACAAGTTGTAAAAAATGGAAAAAAATTATTAAACAATTCTTCAATTAAAAAATATTAAAAAAAGAAAAAATATGTTAGAAAAATATAAATATTTTAATTTTTATTTAGAATTAAAAAAAAAATATATATAAAAGCAAATATTAACTGATTTCATTAATTCCTTGTTGAGAACCTCTCCAGATTATCCTGATATCATATTAAAATCGACTAACGAAAAATATATCGTTAACTGGGGATTATATTATCTCTTTCAAATTGAAAAAGGTACAAAAAAACCCCAACTCGAAGGAAAAAATTAGACTAAAGTATTTGGAATTTAGACAGACCACCCGCCACCATTCAATCCGTCGTGAAACGTATGAAAAGAATGGTAAGAGGTAGAGAACGGAAAAAAATATTATTGGCGAGCGAGTAATAGAACGAATAGCAGTACCAGTTGACCCAAAAATCGGAGCACCTAAGTTTGCAGCACACCTGCAAGTAGCAGGAGCACCAATGGCTAGCCACAAAAACAAAGGAAATTGACTAAAACCTACAGTATGCAACGGACGCGAAATTTTTAAGGAAATGCGAACATATAAATTTAAGAGAATAGAGTGAGACTGTAACTTTCAACTCGGATCTATATGGTCGTGTGATAGCCCATTCTCTTTGAATGAGAATTGAAGTACACGATTTGAACAATATATGGTTTCAGTAAGATAGGGCCAAAGATTACACAGTACGAGCGAAAATGGCTTTATTGCGTTTTAGCGAGGTCAATTGAACACCAGATCAGGTGACACTGCCGCCCAATATGGTAGAAAATTACCTCAAACGATTCGAAGTTTGCGAAAATTCGCAAAGCGGTCATTTAACTGAATGTATTGTTTCACAGGTAATGTCAAGGCCCAAACTTTTTTTTTTTTTTGAAGGACTTTCAGACAAGTACAACATTTTCAATGCATTTTATTTACGTTCAGTTTCGAAATCCCAAAATGACTAGCATTTGTTTACAAGCTGCTATTAGTAATTCACATTTCTTTAAATCTCCTTTTCCCTATAATAATTATTATATTGCCTTTAATAACTAAATTCCACTTGGAAAGCCAACAAATTCAGCAGAAAATGAACTTATTAAAGATTTATCTTCTATTTTACTGCGAAAATGAATATAAAAAAAGCTGCCGAAGTAAGAGTTTGAGGGAAATCATTGACCAGGTGTGGTACAAGTTATGAAACAGGCGAAGAAGATTCACGATACAGACTAAGATTGGAATGAGAGAATTGAAAATATTGTTTTTAAGCAGAAAAACGATAATTTACTAGGTGTCCAAATCGATGGCTATTTATAATTTTTTGCATTTTCTGACAACAAAGTAAATGAATCGATATAATCTTTGGAGTAAAATAGTAAAAAAAAAAATTTACTATTATGGAAAAAAATCAAACGTAAAATAATATAAAAATAAAATAAAATAAAGAAATAATAAAACTATAATGAGAGTGCACAACACTTACGGTTTTTCGTTTAGGAATTCACCGCGCGTAAACTCTGACAAACGGCGCGACTTGGCTTTCTTGGTCAACGCCAACGCTGAGCTGCTGCTACCGCTCTTCGGCGTGGGTGCACTATTTAGACGGAAATTTTTAAAGTTATCCAGCGAGGCGCACGCACAATCGGCATTGCCGACACACGAAGACGATATCGAAGCAGAAGTCGTAGAGACGGACCATGGCGAAAATGCGCCAGCTTGTATCGTCGTTTCCGTTGTTTTTGGTTTTGCTATATGAGCATTGGTTGTATTGAAAATCAAGAAATTCGGACACGTAGATTTATGTTGTTCTTGTTTTTGTTGGTTATGCTGGTAGCAGAAGTTATGAGATTGCTTTTGTGCCGTTTCATGAACAACCGACGCGCATGTGCACAGCTCTTCATTGCTACCTGTCAAGGAAATAGGCGAACCCTCACGAGAATCACCGCCAACTGGCATACAATTGCACTTGATGGGCATTTGATTGGACCAACGACGCAGTGGTGAACGTTCTTGACGTGCCCTACTCGGTTCGAAGCTCTCCAATGATAATTTTTTCACGAGTGGACGTTGCACTGTTTGCGCACTGGAACGTGCTTGCGACAGGCAATTATGTTGCTTGAGACCGCGACGCGGTGAAGGCGGTGAGGGTGTATTAGGTGGCGATAGCAAGGCGGCCGCAGCAGCCACCGCACTTGTAGAGATCGCATCAAGCGAGCTTGACTTCATAATAGGATGTGACAACTTACTAGCCGCAGCGCGATTCTGTGCGACAATGCGTGCATATAGCTCCTCGCTATCCAAGGGCAAAAGTTGTGGCATGCCAACGCGGCGCTTGTGTTGGTTATTTGGCTTCTGCGGTGTTTCTGCAGGCTCGGGTTGCTCATCGATGCGTTCGCTACTCGATGACTTCTCGGCCGACTTTGCAAGTTGCTTGCTATAAGACAATATATTAGACAGTCTTCTCATTTTGTTTGGTTTTGTTTTGGCGGACGACTTTTGGCTATCACAATGGCCGACCTCAGTATTCGCGCCTTGCGTCTGATTATCAAGACTTCGATCGCCATTGTTTGTAGGCGACTCGGAGCAAAGAATTGCGCTTGCGACAGCGGTTTCATCGATTTTACTGACAATAAAACGATTTTTGTATTCTGGGTGTGGTGTATTTGACGCGGCAGTGGTGCTCATGTGGCTTGCATCCGATTTCTCTATTTGTAAAATATCATAAATCGTGCCATATTTGCGGCTAGTGCCCAAATAAGTGGACGAGGAAGCAGCAGAAGTAATTGAATTTGGCGCGCTTGAGCTGTGTTCGTCTGTGGCGGCAAGATTTTGTGTCTGTTGTTGCTCTTGTTGCTTTTGTATAATATCATAAATCATAGTTGGCTTTGGTGTCTTGTTTTTCTCTTGCTTCTTGCCTTTGTCTTTATCCTTTTCTAGCTTTCCGGAGCTCGCGCTATCGCGTCTCTCGTGTGCGCCGCCGGTCGCAGCACCGGTGTCTTTCTCCAAAATAGCCGAAAGACTTTTACGCTGAAAGAAATCGCTCGCACTTGTGAATGACGCTGAGCTGGCGGTGGATGCCTGTGATGTCTTGCGGTGCAGAATCTCGTAAATGGTGCCATATGTCATATATTTGTCATATTTATGGTATGTGAGGTTGTAAATGTCATTCTTGCGTTGGATAATGTCATAAATGGTGCCATAAACTAGCTTGTCGTAGATTTTAAAATTCCTTTTGTAATTGTTGGTGCCACCAGCGCAGCTAGGTTTGCTACCAATGGATGTAGTCGCTGGTACAACCACACCGACGTTTGAAGTGTCGGCGGCATTCTCCGGCGTGGTATTACCTGCAGAGGCTGCTGCTTTTTGCTGCTGCTCTTTCAGCGAGTTGCGACGCATTAGTAGAAATGAAGCATAACTTTTGCGATGACGCGAGTTTTGACGTTTAAATGTCGTTGCTGTAGACGCACCACTCTCAACGACGCCCTCAGTCGACTTCTCCGGATAATTCATTGCCTCGCATTCGCGCACCAGACGTTTAAACTCCTCATACGATTTACGGCGTATGTGCGCTTTTTCTTTTTCTTTGGCCGCAAGCAACTTTTGATCGAGTATTTGCGATAGAAAATCGGAATTCTTACGCAAAATTTCTGTGGTTGATCGTTGCGGTAATGTCACTGGTGTACCCGCCGCCGCCGCCTTTATTCCGGCCGCTGCAGGTGGTGGAGCGCACATGTCTGCAGTATCCATTTCAGCTCCAGCACAGACCGCAAACTTGTTTACGCAATCCGTTTTCGAGTCGTTATTCACAGTAGCGAACGCGTCCAATTGTTCACCGCTTCTGCGACTGGCAAGTGCAAGCGCCGCACTAACAGTTGCGATCTCCTCGATTGCGGTTACAGCTTGTTCTGATATCGATTCTAATGCATTCGATGCCGACGACAGTGTCACCCCTGACGACGTCGTCGCCGTCGATGGCAACGCACATATTGTTGTAGTTGTTGTTGTGGCTAAGCTCGAATTAGTCATTGACGCATCGTATTGTATTTCCTTTTCTAAAAAGCTGCCACTGTCACCACTACGTGCCTGCAATGCTTTACGCCGTGCACTCGACTCCGCTAATACGCCGCTTGCACTATCTAAATTCGCCGCGGCGGCGAACATTGCTTTAAATTCCTCATATGACTTGCGTCGATTGCGTGACTGTGTTAGGCATTCTTTATAGTTGAGTCGCGCGATTTTTTCCGGCGCATCACAGCGCTCGGTTGCAGAGCTATTGAACGTCACGCGCGCTGGCGACGTTGCTGAGTTTTCCAGACTCGTAGTGGCACCGTCAAAAATTTGCGCTAGTGTGGGGCGCGCGCTGGTCGCAGGTGATGAAACAGAAGCGGCGTGGAGCAGCACGCCAACGGCACTCTCCAATTTATTCTGCATCTCAATAAAGCCAGAATCCATTGAACTAATAGTACAGGTTGAATCGAAACTTGTTTTCCGACTCGAACTATTGCTATGGGCTTGCGCGCTCGACGCAGCGACGGCGACTGCGTCGTGTGTGTAATCGTTGATGACATTCTTTGGGCTCGTTGACGCGTTCACAGTTTCGTCCAGTGATTCGTTGTTAATTTGCATGCAAAGCGCATCTGCTGTCAGTGGAAGGTTGCAGCCATAGCCGTCAACACAGTTATCTACGTCGTTCTGTTCGTGCTCGTGCGCTGTGTCAGCCAATGGTGCGATGAGCTCTCTATTGGGTGCGCATAGCAAATCGAAGGTCTTCGTATCGTTAGCAAAATTTCGCGTAGCAGCGCAGCGGATCGTCTTCGGATTATCGCTAACGTCGTCGTCTTCGAAACTAATTAGATCTTTAACTACTTCGGTCGCGGCGACCTCCACCTGTTCGTCTTCCATTGGTATATCACAGTTGCTGTTGGGCTTATCGTCAATAACCTGCATTCTCGTTGATCCGAACTCAACTCGCGTTCTCCCACTGTTTCTGTTACTCTTCGCTGATACTTGCATTTCTCCAACGAGCTCGGCCCCACAATTGTTTGTCGACTGTTTTGTCGTTTCTTTATCGTTTTGCTTTTTATTCACCGTCGCATACGCGGGCAGTAATGAAAGCGCTGGCAGTGGAATGCAGTCAATTTTATTGCTACGACTATTACTTGTACTACCAACACCGCCGCCGCCACCACCACCACAAGACCCACTACCACCGCCGGAGCCATTTGTATTGATTGCAATGCTACGATTATGAAAGATTTTTACGCTTTGCATTGGTAATTTGTGACGATTTTGCCGATTACGTGCTGCTAATGCAGAGGCGAAGTTGAGGCAATGTTTACGCTGATAGCGGCGCGTGTATTTATTGGCAATACTGTATACAGGATCATCTCTGGGCATTGTTGGCGGCTCAATTGTTCGCTCCGTAGCTGAGCCCCTGTCCGAACAGGCGCTGCCGCGACCAGAAGTCCTTAGTAATCGCTGTAATCGTTCTGCCGCTAAAGCGCGACGGCTCTGATTACTTTTAGGCGGAAATACATCCGTGGCATACTGACAGTTGTTGTGATGTGTTGCGCGCGGCGTCGGTGCACCTTGACATCTGGCGGCGTAAATTTCATTCATACATTTTGCGCAGCAGAGAAACTCGTAAAGCACTTCCTCGCCATCCGTGGAATTGGGCGGCGTGAACGTGGAGTATTTCGGTTCCTCCTCATCGTTAACGACAAGATTTGGAAACTGCGTATGCGCCAACGTTTGCAACGCGCTTTCTTTCTCTTCATTCACCGCTTCGAACTTTTCCACACAACCTGCTCTCGTGCTCGTCGCCGCTGACAACGTTGGTGGGACGTTGTTAGGCAAGTCTGTGACGCGCTGCTTATTCGTTGCCACAGGCATTAATATATATGTATTTTTAGTCTGCTTTTCATCCGCGCCGCTTGTCGTACTATGCGCGCCATTCTGCATGGCATTCTCTTTATTGCCATCCACATCGACGGCAGCGTTTTCAATGGCAGCAACACTACTGCCGCTTTTCATTATTGAACTTTCGATGCTAATACCGCTGTCCAACAGCACAAATGTGCCATCCGCTGGCAATATAAGTCTACCCTCGGCGGCAGCGTTGACCAATTCACGCAGCGCCAACACCTGTTTCTCGGTCACGTTTCCCTGCAATTGTATGCCATGAAGCGCGAAAGCTGTGGGCTGTTTATTCACTGAATTCGGATCTGTGCACCAGACGACTGGCATGGTTGCCATTTTAGTAGCACTTGCTGCTGCGCCTGCTGCGGCGGTTGCTACTACAACATTGGCCGTTGCGGATACACTGGTTGTTATACTTTCTGTGCGCATTGGTGTTTATGGTGTGTTGTTAATTGCGCTTAATTGAAGTTGCAAACACGCTTTGTCATTGGCGAGTTTTCTTTTTTATTTTTTATTTTAAATCACACAGTCTGTTTAGTTCTTGAGATTATCGTTGTTTTTCTTCCAACTCTTGTTAGTTGTTTAGTCTGATTAGATTTCTCATAAGACAACTGTCCTCGTTTATTCTGTTATTTGTTTTTTATCAGCATATTGGTTCGTGTAGCTTTAATTTTACTGAATGAAAGGAAAGAGTTTAACAAATTAGGCATTAATAGAAATGTTTATTTAAGGGGAAAAGCAGGAGCGCTGTTTCGTGACGTTTTTTTCCTCGTCGTTTGTTGTTTGCAGAAAATAGAAAATTGTGTTAAAACCGTAGGTGAATAAGACATTTATGGTACAAAATCTCTGTGAAAAAATATCAATTCTCTTAATGCAGCTCTTAAAAAAATAAAAAAGTTTAATGTCATTCACTAAATAAATAAAAAAAAATTAATAAAAAAAAATTTAAAGATTTAAATATTTTTATTTTTTTTTTTTAGCTTCTGAAAACCTTAAAATTTGGACTTGTGTCATTTCCGTAGCGAAACACAGGATATAAAAAATATATTGAAATTTAACATGATAAAAAAAATACTTTTCCACTAACTGTCTTCACCATGTCAACAGCTAACTGAAATAATTTAGCAAAACTTGTGTCAAAAAACTCTTTTAAAAATAATGCCAAAATAATTTCAATCTTAATCCAGCAAATAACAGTCAAAAAACTTGTTTCGAAGACTATTCAAAAATAGCCTGGAATTGATTACAAAATACAAATAGAGGAAACCCAAACTTGCTCTAGAAAGATCGAAATTCGCTCTGAATTTATTTAAAAATAGTATTCCAAATTAGTTCAAAATTTATTCCAGAGCAACAAAAAATAACTTGGTCTGAAGCTTCTTTCAAATAGTACATAATTATTTAAGAAAGAGTTTCAAACTGAACCATTTCGAGTTCAAATCTCAAATTTCTTACGACACGTTTTGAAAGAAAGTATTATCAAAATTAATTAATTTTGGAACTGATACCGAAATAAACTACCTTCCAATAGTTAATCCCAAGCTGGTTCTGATTTTCATTTGTTAAAAGAATTATATAGAAGAATTCGTAAAAAATTTGGAGTAAAATATTTAGTAAAGTGTGTAAAAATAACCATCAGTAAAGCCAGAGGTATAAGCCCTAGCAGAAATGGCTATAAATGAGGATCTCATCACAATTAGAGAAGTCGCTGATGTAGTTGGCTCATTGATTTAATCATCTCATTGAATTTTTACAATGTTTTAGGTATGAAAGCCAAACTTGTTCCAAAAATAGAATCGAAATTGCTCAAAAGTCAGTAAATTAGTCAACACCGATACAGAATGAATGAGGATATAAAAAAGGTGAAAAAAAAATGGTTTAACAGAAATGACGTCGCAACTGAGGATCGCTCATCCCAACTTGCATCCAATTCATTTAATAAACGAAACCCAAATTTAGGAATAAATTTAAGAATGTAAATTTTTAAAACATTTGAGGCAAGTAAAGCTTTACACAAAAGTCTTGCGCTAAAAAATAATTCAACTTCAAGAATTCAAGACTGCCCTTAACAAAGTCTTTAGTTTCATGTTTCCATATATGTATATATTTATATTACAGTCTATATTGCAAACTAATTGATAACAACGCTTCTAAAAGTAATTACAAAATATCATATTCGCAAAGCAATTTTCAAAAAAAAAAAGTTTTTTAATACTTAAACACTCCGAACGACAATTTATCGCCCGCAGACTCAATGATTAATGAGTTTCGCCGAATTACATAAGACATAACATAAAGCAAAAAAAAATTCCATGGGCAAGTCTGAATTGTCGTTCATTCACAGTTCCAACTGTGATTTAAATATTTATTTTATCTACATTTTGCCATTGACTGTGCGATTAGTGGAAATGGCAAAAAGAAAAATAAAAATAATAATATTTTTAATAAAAGGCGAAAAAACTATACCAAAAGCGAATGAACGACCAATCGACTACGCTGGCTAACGACTGCGAAAGAAACCTTCCTCTCTCAAGTCGTTTTGCTCTCTGCTCGTGTACATTCGTAATGAACGGTGGTGCGCATGCGTAACGAATCAATGAATGAAAGTACTCGTCTAAATGCTGGTACATACATACATATGTATTTATGTTGCATATGTATGTATTTATGTGCATAAATTTTATATCTGAAAACGTAGCGCCTTCCCATACAACCGGCCTATATTACCAAAAGAGGCGGAGGAAAAAGACGCGCGTGCGTGACGCGGTCAATACTGCGCAATCGGCGTTTTTAAGTATTCACCTGCGAAAAAATTATAAATATATGTACCTGTATATGTGTGAATATTTACAAAACCAAAAAAAAAAAAGCAGAAAAAAATAATTGCCACAATCTGTTTGGTGGCGCTAATGCTCTCTCTCACATTGGAATCAGTCATTTACCCCTATCAGCCGGTATTTGACTGATTTTTTCGCAATGAAATAGTAATAAAATAGTGTGTTAAATAAATATTTATGTTTTTTCACACTGTCCTCTTTCATTTACATGCATTAATTGAGGTGTTGCTACAAATGCTCCATAGTAGTTTGTGGGTGCGCGAGCAATAATTGCTTGTCATTGCGTTTGGACAAACGCGTTTGTGGAGCATTTGAACTTTGCAAAAATAAGGTTTTTTTTTTGTTGATGGTAGACTTTTTTTTGTGGTTCGTTTTAATTATTGCGAATTCGGCGATAGTCTATTTTAAAATATCTGTGATATGGGAGTTAAGGTCGTATTTTCAAATTTTTTCTAATTTTCAAATTAATGCAATATCTAATACAATGTTTTAATTGCAAATTTTTCAATACTTTTAAGGTTTAAATTTTTTTTTATACTTATTTTTTATTAATTATTTTAAATTTCTCCTTTTGTTGCGTTTTATATTTTTTTATTTAAATACATTTTTTATTTTCTTTTATTATTTAAATTTGGTTTTTAAAAGTTATTAGTTTTTTTTATTAATATTTAATTTTTATTTAAACTTTCTTTTTTTTTAGTTTTTAAATTTATTTTAGAGTAGAGAAATCTTTATTTCATTTTTTTTAATTTCTTTCATGTAATTTGAATTTATATTTTTTTTCATTTAAATTTATTAGCTTATTCAAAAATATAAAATAATTGCAAATAAACAATACATATTTTTAGTTTTAGGTTTAGTTTTAGTTTTTACTTTTAATTTTAATTCCAGGCTTAATAACTTTCAATTTGGTTTTTTAATTGTTTTAACTTTAAATTAATTAAGTTTACTTTATATATTTTTTTAAAATTAGTTATTTTTAATTAATTTACCTTTTTAATTAATTAATTTTTTAATTAATTTTTGTTTTAAATTTATTTATTTTCTTTAATTATTTGTTTTTAATATAATTTTAATTTTTTTTTTTGTTTTTATTCACTCAATGTGTTTTTTCACATTTTTTTCGAATTTTTATGAAAATGTTATTGATAGGCTTAATAAAAAAAAAATTGTTATATAAAATATATTTTTTATTGCCCTAATTTAAAGCTGAAAGCAAAGTCAATACGAGTACTAAAAATTATTAAAAAAATATTAATAATTTGTTTATATGTTTTGTATACTAATTTTTTTGTATCACTTCTGACCAATTTTATAACTATTTGTTAATTGGAAAAAGGTCGGAAGATGTAATTAGAATGGGATCGAAAAATATTTAGCCATATTGTTTGAAAATTTGTAAGTTTCAAATGGGCTGATTTACGTACAAATAAAGTCTTCTTAATTTTGTTAAATTTCAGAACGGTTTTCATAATAAAAAAAACTTTGAACTTCACAGTTTTTTGGGATCACCGCAATTTAATACTCACGTGATAAATATTTTTTTCATTTTTTGTTCAAAATTTTTAATGATTATACATAGAACACATGTCGACCATACACTTTAAAGTTCTAATAGCCCAGTGAGAAGGCAAACTTAAAGCCGCCTATATTACATAAATATAAACAGCGACACAAAAATAATGTTTAAGTGACACTTGAGACAGATCTAAACACTTATATATCCTTACAATGAAAGAAATCTGCAAGCCATGCGACAACAGCTGAATATTTACCAAACTTACAACTAAAAAAAAAAAGAGGTTAAGTGCTGACATCCTTTCGGCGATCAAAAAAAAAAACTAAACTCGAATTAGTGAATATTGTCGTAAAAAGTACCTACATACACGTAGATACGTAAATAACGAGCAAACAAAATACAAAAACGTGTAAAAAACCCACGACTGCACAATAATGCTGCTAAAATCAATGATCAGTGCAAATAATACCAACAATGAAAAGATTAAAAAAGGTTTTATTTGTACGACCACTACTACTCGTACGAAAATGTAACTAGTTTGTTTGAACGAGCTGTATTCTCTGCTTAACTCGCTGGTGTATCTACCATTTGGAGAACAAGTGCATTTGTTTGAGCAGAATTGTGTTGACTTTGCGTGTTGTGCTTTTGAAAAATACAAGGAAAATGAAAAAAAAAACGCATATCATGCTGTGAATGTTTATTTATTTATTTTTATTCTTCAATTTTTATTATTTTTTTTTCTGAGGTTAAACGTTAAATGTTACAGAAAGCTATCTTTTTTATATATATTTTCAGAAAAATAAAAACCAAAGGTAAAAAAACATAAATGTAATAAATGCAAAAAGTGAGTAAATCACTTTGCAGCACAAATCTTGTGAAATAAAATAAAAGCAAAAATACAAACATAAAATCTCTTGTCAAACAAACAAAACTACTAATGTAGAGTTACACAATAATAACAAAAAGTTGAAAAAGTAAATAAAAATATTACAATGAAAACCAGCAAACAATAAACAAAAAATGCTATTCGCGCAAATGTCAATGTCAAACCATGAATTCATACTAAAAATTTATAATAATAAATAATAATATTAAAAAAATAATAATAAAGTAAAAAAAATATAATAAAAAAATAAAAAATAGTTACAAAAAAAAAATAGAGTTGCACTAAAAAGATAACAATGGACTTTTGCAATACCGTGTTTCTTTATATGCAAAAAGCTGCATTTAAATCGAACTCACGAGCCTTGGAAGAGCAAAAAAGAAAAATTAATCGTGGATTATATCGTACATTCTTGCAAATATTGGCTATTTTTATA